TTGGAAAAAGTTTTATCAGGGGATTTTAGGAAAGAAAATAAAGCAGAATCAAAAGAAACAATTTACTTCTACTTGGAAAGGCAAGCAGTTACCTGTCTGTCCCTGAGTGTAGTCTGCACAACTCATCCTTCATTCTAAAGCATTCTTCAGCTTGGTGCTTCTTTTTCTCTTCTGATTCACTGCCTTTTGTTCTTTATTATGCTTTTTTTTTTAATTTTTAAATTTTTATTTATTTATTTATTTAAAAATTTTTGTTTTTATTATGCTTTTTTAAAGCAACATGTAAGAAAGGCACAAAGCCACCTCATCTCTGGAGTATAGAGAAGCTATTCTGCATATCAAGTTGATCAAATCTGGCAAGAGCTCTGATCTCTTGGCCCCCCAGCCTGGGTTTATTTTAAGTGCAGTTATATAATATCCTAGCCCAACTGACCCAGGGTGTGTTTTACAAAACCCTTGTTTTATTTGCTGCCTTTCCAGGCTCAGGCACTTCTAAAAGAGTTCAGGACATAATTTCTTTTGAAAGAATATGAGGTGGTACTGGCTCCAAAATGAAAGCGTTCAGAAACCAGGAGATAATGCTCAGCCATTGCATCAGTCAGGGGATGAGGCTTACGACTGGGGAGGGCAGGGTGCCCAGCACAGGCCAGCCTAGTGTTAAAGTCTTTGGTACATGCTGTTGATAAATAGCGTTAAGTCACCCTTCTGGGAGTTTATAGGAGATGCCTTTGTTCATTGGGAACTTTTAGCATTTATATTATTTTTCTGTATTTTCCTTCTTTTAAAACAATCTCCCATTTAAGAGCAACCCAACAAAAATGCATTCAAGTTATTATTTAGAGGTGAAATAATCTCAGAGGTGAAATGCTGTTGAGTGTAGAACTGCACTCTTTTCCCTCTCTATCATTTCATACATCCCCACTTACAATGCCTGGCATGGAGCAGGTACTCATGAGACGTTGGTATTCACAAGGTTGACTTCCAGTGGGAGGATGCAGGAGGATAGAAAAGAATGACAATCATTCACGTATCCAGTCAACACATAGCCACTGGAAGGCTTGCTTCAGGCCAGGCCCTCTGTGGGGATGGGGGTATGTTGATGCTGGTCCCCACAGACAGTGTGCTGCTTATACTGACTCTGGGAGGTGTGTGCCCTCTTGTGCATTATTTAGTCCATCTAAGCCTGTTTCTATATCTGTATAATGGGTCCAATGTATATATCTGAACTAGCTTGGACCTTTGTCTTAATACCTAACTTAGATGATTAGCCTTACAACGGATGCTCTGTTGGCCATATGCTGGCACTTTCAGTGGATACTCCCAAGGAGGTCCCAAACCAGAATCAGAAGGTCTAACACTGAGCGGAGTCTACACACACATTAGTGGAGGTCACTGAATAACCGTAGATGGTGCAGGAAGAGAGCCTGGTCTGAGGACTGAGAGTGAAGTAGCCTTTAAAGAGACTGCCAGTGCCTCTGCCCTGGAGCACAACACCAGAAAGAAGGAGAAAGAAGAAGCTAGAGATGGATAGCAGGGACCCGGGGAGAAGGCAAATGGGTGGCAGAGGGCACTGAAGCTGGGCTTGGGTTTGCTTCCTCATCAGCTGGTAAGAAGGTTTCTGTTCTGGTCACATTGTGAGCAAGAAGACCAAGCAGCAGATCATCTTGTCTGTGTCTCAGGCACTGGCGGGAGAGCTTCAAAGACGGTAAAGATGAACTCGTGACAGAAAGCCAGCCATGATGACGTGGATGTAGGGCTGAGGCATTTGGGTGAATAGCCTCACTTTGCTCACCCCTGGGTCACTGGGTAGTGGGTCTTGATATTTCTTGAGTTCTAGGAAGTTTAAAAGCCATTCTTTTTTTTTTTTTTTTTTTTTGGCCATGCCACACGGCTTGCAGGATCTGTTTCCCAACCAGGGATTGAACCTGGGCCCCGGCAGTGAAAGCACCGAGTCCTAACCACTGGACAGCCAGGGAATTCCCTAAAAGCCATTCTTGTGCTGGAAGAGGTCCTCTTCTTCTGAACCAAGTGTTAATTTCCCCCAGGGGAAGAGTGAGGCAAGTGGGCTGAACCTGGACTTCACTCAGCAGGACCACCTGAGACTGGAATCTAGGCATGGCCATTTCCTGGCACATGTCCCCAGGCCAGATAGCCAACCTCTGAGCACCCATTTCCTCACCTGCAAAATGGGAATAACAGTATCAACCTCTTTGGACTGTAGGAAGAATTCAGCAAGCCATTCTGCATGAAGTGTCTGGAGCACCCAGCGCATGGTGGTTTAGAGAATTTATTCCCTCTTGCCTTTATCCTGTCCTTCACTGCTGCTTCCAGATGGCCTTCCCAGTGACCTCCCAGGGGTGCAGCTTTTTCTCACTTTGTTTTAGGTTCCTTTCTTTCATACGTTCTCCAGAATGAAATTAATCTTTTCCTCTTCAGAGTCTCATAATGTAGCATTTCTCAGAATCTGCTCTGGGTTATAATTATCTTATTCATGAGCCATCTCCTCTCCCTACACAGGAACCCCTCTAGGGAACTGTGATATGAGAAAGAGTATATCTGGTCTTTGTCTCCAGTTCCAGGCAGAGAGCTTCAAAATTCTTGGAATTTCCGGAGCAACAGGAGTATCTTTGTTATGCTGCTGGGGTGCCTCATGGTGGTTCCTTGATAGCTGCAGGGTGGGACCTGGTCACCAGAAAAGCCAGCCACATGACTAGAGGGTGGGGACTTTCAGCTGCCTGACCTTCAGGGAGGGGAAGTAGACTGGAGACTGAGTTCAATCACATGGCCAGTGATTTAACCAACCTTGCCTACACAATGAAGCACCAATAAAACTCTGCATGTGGAGGTTCCATGGTGCTTCCTGGTTGATGAATGCATTGATGTGCCAGAAGGGTGATGCGCCCTGACTCTGTGGGGAGAGGGCATGAAACTTCTGCATTTGGGACCCATCCAGAATTCAACCCATATGTATCCTTTATTTTAAAAAATTGTAAGTTTAGTGCTTTTCTGAGCTCTGTGTGTCATTCTAGCAAATTATCAAAACTGTGGGGGTCATGAAAATTCCTGAATTTTCCCAAAGCACAGGTGACCTGAGGACCCCTGAAATGCAGCTGGTGTCTGAAGCGGGGGCAGTCTTGTGGAGAACTTTGCCCTTAATCTGTGAAATTTGTGTGTACTCCAGGGGGTTAGTGTCAGAATTGTACTGCAGTACACCTGGCTGGGGTGGAATAGGAACAGGAAGAGATTCATGTGTTAGTAGACTGTCTTCCAAATCAGGAACTGAATAAATATAGGTTGAACTAAGAAGAGTTGACTTAATATTTTATATCCATATCAACATTGTTATTTCTTTGGCCTTCCTCTGATTTGGGGCAACCCCTAATATTGGGGTCTTGGTGGCAGATAGAGCCTGGCTCCCCCCACAAATGCTGAAAAGGTCAGTCTCACTGTGGCCAGGCCAGGATCAACCAATCAGGCGCACTCATCTTTGACTCTGAATCACAAGCAAATCTCTCTGATAGAAGAAACATCCATCTTTCCAGGGTAACAATAATGCCACTGGGAGTATGCAGCAGCCAGTGCCATTGGGACAAGCTACAATAACTAGTATTCAGCTGGACAGCAACAGTGTATTCATCTACCTTGTTTCCTATGGGGTGATTTTTTGGTCCCTTTGATTAAAGTTTTGTTCATTTTTTTCTTATTCTGTTTTGTTTCCCTGCTCTCTTGGAAACCATGTACTCTATTTCTACTCTTTCATAGTTACTCTTGAAATTTTGCCACACATATATAATTGGGATTTATCCCAGGGATGGAAGGATTTTTTCAATATCCGCAAATCAATCAGTGTGATTCACCACATTAACAAACTGAAGAATAAAAACCATATGATCATCTCAATAGATGCAGAAAAAGCTTTTGATAAAATTCAACATCCATTTATGATAAAACTCTCCAGAATGTGGGTGTAGAGGGAACATACCTCAGCATAATAAAGGCCATACGTGACAAACCCACAGCAAACATCATACTCAATGGTGCAAATCTAAAAGCATTCCCTCTAAGATCAGGAACAAGATAAGGATGCCCCTCTTTCCCACTTTTATTCAATATTGTTTTGGAATTCCCAGCCACAGCAATCAGAGAAGAAAAACAAATAAAAAGAATCCAAACTGGAAAGGAAGAAGTGAAACTTCACTGTTTGCAATGACTATACATTGAAAATCCTAAAGATACCACCAGAAAACTACTAGAGCTCATCAATGAACTCAGTAAAGTTGCAGGATACAAAATTAATATACAGAAATCCGTTGCATTTCTATACACTAACAAGGAAACATCAGAAAGAGAAATTAAGGAAACAATTCCATTTACCATTTCATCAAAAAGAATAAAATATCTAGGAATAAACCTACCTAAGGAAACAAAACCTGTACTCAGAAAACTATAAGACACTGATGAAAGAAATGGAAGATGACACAAACAGATGGACAGATATAACATGTTCTTGAATTGGAAGAAACAATATTGTTAAAATGACCATACTACCCAAGGCAATCTAGATTCAATGCAATCCCTATCAAATTACCAATGGTATTCTTCACAGAACTAGAACCAAAAAATTTTTAAAAATTTGTATGGAAACAAAAAAGACCCTGAATAGCCAAAACAATCTTGAGAAAGAAGAATGGAGCTGGAAGAATCATATTCTCTGACTTCACACTACTATAAAGCTACATTAATCAAAACTGTATGGTACTGGCACAAAAACAGACACATAGATCAATGGAACAGGATAGAAAGCCCAGAAATAAACCCCTGCACTTATGGTCAATTAATCTACAACAAAGGAGGCAAAAATATACAATGGAGAAAAGACAGTCTCTTCAATAAGTGGTGCTGGGAAAACCTGACAGCTCCATGTAAAATAATGAAATTAAAACATTCTCCTGGGACTTCCCTGGTGGTCCAGGGGTTAAGACTCCATGCTTCCACTGTAGGGGGCGTGGGTTTGATCTCTGGCTGGGGAAGTTCCACATGCTGCCTGTGTGGTGTGGCTGAAAAAACAAAGAAAAGAAAAAAAGAACATTCTCTAATACCATATAAAAAAATAAACTGAAAATGCATTAAAGACCATAAAAGACCAGACACTATAAAATTGTAAGACCAGATACGATAAAACTCCTAGAGGAAAACATAGGCAGATTGTTCTCTGACATAAATTGTAGCAATATATTTTTTGAATCCATCTCCTAATGTTAATAAAAGCAAAAAGAAACAAATGGCTAATTAAACTTAAAAGCTTTTGCACAGAAAAGGAAACCATAAACAAAATGAAAAGACAACCTACAGACTAGAGGAAAATATTTGCAAATGATGCAACCCACAGGGATTAATTTCCAAAATATACAAACAGCTCATACAGCTCAATATCAAAAAAACAAACAACCCAATCAAAAAATGGGCAGAAGACCTAAATAGACATTTCTCCAAAGAAGACATACAAATGCCCAACAGGAACATGAAAAGATGCTCAACATCACTAATTATTAGAGAAACGTAGATCAAAACTAAAATGAGGTACCACTTCACACCAGTCAGAATGGCCATCATCAGAAAGTCTACAAATAATAAATGCTGGGGAGGGTGTAGAGAAAGGGAAGCTTCTTACACTGTTGGTGGGAATAAATTGGTGCAGTCACTATGGAGGGCAGTACAGAGGTTTCTTAAAAAACTAAAAATAGAGTTACCATATAAGCCAGCAATCCCACTCCTGGACCTATATCCAGAAGAGACGAAAGCTCTAATTCAAAAAGATACATGCACTCTAACGTTCATAGCAGCACTATTCACAATTGCCAAGACATGGAAACAACATAAGTGTCCACCAACAGATGAATGGTTAAAGAAGATATGGTACATATACACAATGGAATATTACTCAGCCATAAAAAGAATAAAATAATGCCATTTGCAGGAACACGGATGGACCTAGAGATTATCATACTAAGTGAAGTAAGTCAGACAGAGAAAGACAAATATCATATGATATCACTTATATGTGGAATCTAAAAAAATGATACAAATGAACTTATTTATAAAATAGAAATGGACTCATAGACATAGAAAACAAATTTACAGTTACTAAAGGGGAAAGGTGGGGAGGGATAAGTTAGGAGTTTGGGATTAAGATACACATCACTATATATATAAAATATATAAACAACAATGGCCTACTGTATATAGCAAAGGGAACTATATTCAATACCTTGTAATAACCTATAATGGAAAAGAATCTGAAAAAGAATATATATATATATATTCAGCTATATATATACATATATACAATTGAATCACTTTGCTGTACACCTGAAACTAATACAACGTTGTAAATCAACTATACTTCAATTAATATATATATTATATATAAATATAAATATATATAATTTAACAAAGTCTGAATTTGATATCAGGATGCCTGTCTATACAAGGGCCTTAGAAGACTTAAACTTCAATCACTCGTCTTAACTTCTATGCCTTCATTGTCCTATATTTTAGTTCAATCCTTTATTTTTAAACTTACAATTAGCCATTTATTATTATTATCATTATTAATAAATAATGCTAGTTTAGATTTTACCTTTGGGCTCACAATTCCTCTTTGCATCTCACACCATCTTTCTGGGATAATTTTCCTTCCTTCTGAATGATATCCTTTACATGTTCCTTTAGGGTTGTGCCTGCTGGTAGTAAACTCTTGATGCTTGCTTTAATGAAAATGTCTTCATTTCATCCTTGTTCTGAAAAATAATTTTGCTCGGTATGCAATTTCAGGTTGACAATATTTTTCCAGCATTTTGATGATGTTACTCCACTGTTTTCTAGCTTTTATTGTTGTTTTTGAAAAGTTTACTCTCAGTCTAATTGTATTGTCTTTTGTAGGTGACCTGTCTTTTTCCCTGACTACTTTCAAATCTCCTTGTCTTTGGTTTTCTGCAGTTTTACTATGATGTGTATATGTATTGATTTTATTTGTTTTTGCTTGGTATATTTTATACTTCTTATCTCTGTGGATTTATGTCTTTCATCCAATTCTGCAATAGTCTCAACCATTACCTCTTTGGCTAGTGCTTTATTTCATTCATTCTCTCCTTATGGAACTCCAAATAAACATATGTTCAAATATCTCATTTTATTATCCATATTTCTTAATTTTTTTTCATTTCATTGTCCATCTCTTTATGCTGCCCTTTAAACAATATCATCAGAGCTATCTTCTAGTTCATTAATTTTTCTTATCTGTTTCTAAACTGCCATTTACATGTATTTCACATACCATACAATTTACCCATTTAAAGTCTATAATTCATTGCCTTCTAGTATATTCACAGAGTTGTGCAACCATCACCACAGTCAATTTTAGAACCTTTTCATCAACCTTAAAAAAAACCCATACCCGTTAACAGTCACTCCCTATTTCCCCCAATCCCCCACTCACCTGCCCTAGGCAACCACTAATCTACTTTATGTCTCAATAGATTTGCTTCATCTGGACATTCATCTAAATGTAATCATATAATATGTGGTCTTTGGTGAGTGGCATCTTTCACTTAGCATAATTCTAAACTGTCTTTTAAGTCATCTGTTAAATTCTTCACTTCAACAATTGTGTTTTAAATTTCTATAAGCTCTATTGCTCCCTTTTTCAATTTGCCTAATCTTTTGATAGTTTTTGTGATTTTATCATTACTTCTTCAAGCATTCCATATATAATTATGTTATTTTCTGATAATATCTAGCAGAATGATTTAGAACAAGTTTTTGAGGTTCTAAATCTGCTTCTGCTCATTCTTACTGAGGGTAGTTTGTTTCTTTGAATATTTGGTGATCTTTGATTGGAAATAAATGTTTAGTTTATCTTAGTTTGTGGAAAATCTAAGGTTTTAAATCCTCAAGAGAAATTGCATATGCTTTGCTGGGAGTCAGGGGTGCTAGAGACCACAGGATCTCCTTTCAAGGGTCTGGCTTACAGTAAGAGCCTTGGTTTCATTCTATCCCCTTTGCTAAAAACAATGTTGATAATGGCACGTGCCCCCCTGCCTTTTGTGTGTTAGGGTGGGGGTGCTGACCTTCACCCCTTCAGGCTGCAGCCCTGGGTATGTGTGATGTATTTCTGTGCATGGCATGACGTATATGGGCTTTCCTTTACTACTACCTGTCCAGCAATGCACAGAAGTTCTATCTTATCTAGTTTATCTACAGGGGAAGGGATGCTCAGAGCACCTAGTTTGCCATTCTACTACCTCTTCCTGGAAACCCCCGGCCTGCTGTTTCTGCCCTTCTGCCCTGATTCTCCAGCTTTATTGTGAATCTTGAGTCTACAAAATAATCCCCTCCCTCATTCCATTTCCTGTGTGGATCTCCAAAGTCCAATTCTATTTGCCCACAACTGAGAAAACTGACTGGTAGAATAGCTTCTTAGTAATAAGAATGAAATTTGTGAGAACCAGCAGTTGCCCTGCCATGCTCTGAGGGCTTTATGTGTGTTAATTCCTGTAGTCATCACAACCTTCCCATTTTACAGATAAGAAAACTGAGGCACAAAAAGAAGGACTCAGGGCCCATTTGGGATTCAGCAGAAAAAGTCCTGTTTTTCGAGGAACTGGCTACAAACACCCAGGAACTCATAAAGCCCTGACCTGGCCTTTCTGGCATGTTGTGTGCAGCAGTGAGTCTTGGCAGTGAGTCTGGGGTTCTCTGAGTTTTTTTGCGGGTTGAAAAAAACCCAAGTTCTAACTCAAGAGTGGAGAGTTTCCTTGACCGCGTCTGTGTGGACAGGCTAAAAAATGAATGCTACAGTGGCTGCAAACGCACGATTCAAGTGGTTTTGCTGCATTTTCAGCTTGACTGGGTAACTCTGAGAACAGACTCAAGATCCTACCTTTGGCTTGATCCAACAGAAGCATGAAATTGATGGTCAAGTGTGAATAAGTAGCCAGCTGTGCTCTGAGCCTCTAAATGACACCGTGTAGGGACTGGTAGGAGTGGGGCAATTGCTTCAGGGAGGAGAGCTCTGTTCTACGGATGAGACCCCTCTTCACGCCCTGTCTGAGGACATGCTCTCTCCTGGCTGCTTTCTTAAAAATGAAGCCATGTTGTTTATAATTATAACCATGTATTAAGCTCTTACCCTGTGCCAGGCACTATGCTTTAAAAAAGCTGCTTTTACAGACTTACTTGCTTCACACACCTACCTCTTTTACTCCTCAGAACGACCCTGTAACATCAGCACTATTATTCGCCCGTGTCATGAATGAGAACACCAGGGCTGGGGGCAGTGACTTTCCCGACACTCCACAGCCAGAAGGGGTTCTCAGCTCTCAGGGCAGCAGAGCCTTCCTGGGCCACTCCCCATCCTTCCCAGGGGTGTCCCTCCAGCCTGTTTTCTTTACCACTGAGCCAGATGGGCCCCCTATGGGCAGGTGAGTCACAACCCAAGGACAAAAAGCTAGCTCGTGTCCCCGCGCACCCAGTGTGTGTTTTCTCCCCTCCCGTGTGGATCTGGTCACCAAGGAGCCTACGTGCTGGATTTTCTCAGAACCACAGAAGGAACCAGCTGGATCGTGCGCTCCTGGGTCTGGGCTTAGAGGGTTTTTACCTTTACTGCTTCCCAGCTGGAATTCACCAGGTGCTGCCGGAAGGGCCCGAAACCTGAAACCAAAGAAAGCCTGGTTTCCTCAGGCCATGCCTTGGGCCGCGGTGTCTCTGCTTCTGTGCTGCTCCCCGCACCTCCTTGGGGACCTCTTGTGATTCCCTGGGCCATCAAGGACTCCACACACCCCCTTTCTTGTGGAGGCTTGCAACCTTGCCCGTCTGGAAGCATTTTCCAAGTCCTCTTGTGTGAGGCATTGTAGGGGGGCCCTAAAGGAATGTGGGGCTGATCCACCACCAAGTAGGAGGGCTCGAGAAGGTGTGAGCACACATGTCCAGTTAAAATGCATGCTGTGTTGAGGGACCAGAAACACACCCATGTGAATATGCCCAGTTGTCTGTTAACAAAGGTGCAAAAGCAATTCAATGGAGAGGGACAGCCTTTTAACAAATGGGGCTGGATAAATCAGACACCTATAGGCAAAAAAAATGGATCCCTCAGCCTGCACCGTATACAAAAATTAATTCAAAATTGATCATGGACTTAAATGTAAAAACTAAACTTATAAAACTTTTTGGGGAAAAAAAAGGGAGAAAATCTTGGGACCTAGTGTTAGGCAAAGAGTCCATAGACTTGACACCAAGTGCGTGATCCATAAAAGTAAAAACTGATAAAGTGGACCTCATCAAAATGAAACCCTTTTGTTCTGCAAAAGACCCTGCTGAGAGGATGAAAAGATACTCTGCAGACAGTTGTAAATCACATATCTGACAAAGGCACTGTATGTAAATCGTATAAGAAAACTCTCAAAACTCAACTTTAAAAGACAGTCTAGGGACTTTTCTGGTGGCGCAGTGGTTAAGAATCCACCTGCCAATGCAGGAGACACGGGTTCGAGCCCTGGTCCGGGAAGATCCCACATGTCACAGAGCAATTAAGCCCATGAGCCACAACTACTGAGCCTGCACTCTAGAGCCCACGAGCCACAACTACTGAGCCTGCATGCCACAACTACTCAAGCCTGCGCGCCTAGAGCCTGTGCTCTGCAACAAGAGAAGCCACTGCAGTGAGAAGCCTGTGCACCACAACGAAGAGTAGCCCCCGCTTGCCACAACTAGAGAAAGCCTGCATGCAGCAATAAAGACCCAACGCAGCCAAAAATAAAAAATTATTTAATTAAAAAGAAAAAAAAAGACAGTCCAGTTAGAAAACGGGCAAAAGGCATGAAGAAACATTTCACTGAAGAGGATATACAGGTGGCAAATAAGCACATGAAAAACTTTTCAACATCATTAGCCATCAGAGAAATGCAAATTAAAATCACAATGAGGGCTTCCCTGGTGGTGCAGTGGTTGAGAGTCTGCCTGCCAATGCAGGGGACATGGGTTCGAGCCTTGGTCTGGGAGGATCCCACATGCCACAGGGCAACTGGGCCCGTGAGCCACAACTATTGAGCCTGCGCGTCTGGAGCCTGTGCTCTGCAACGAGAGGCCGCGATAGTGAGAGGTCCGCGCACAGCGATGAAGGGTGGCCCCCGCTCGCCGCAACTCGAGAAAGCTCTTGCCAGAAACGAAGACCCAACACAGCCAAAAATAAATTAATTAATTTTAAAAAAAAGCCATAAAATCACAATGAGATGTCACTACACTTCTCTCAGGGTGGCTAAAATAGAAATACTGGTAACACCCAAAGCTGACAAGGATGAAGAGGAACTAGGTCACACATACATTGTTGGTAGGAATGTAATGGTACTGCCACTCTGGGAAATGGTTTGACAGTTTTTTTTAAAATTGAAAGTGGACTTCCAAGCACTTGCAGTGCTGGACATTTACCCCAGAGAAATGAAAACTTATTTTCACACAGAAACTTGTACACAAATGTTCACTGCAGCTTTATTTGTAATAGCTCATAGCTAGAAACCAACTCAATATCCTTCAATGAGCGAAAGGTTAAATAAACTGTGGTTCATCTAGATCACAGAATACTACTCAGCTGTGAAAAGAAAAAAGTAGAAACAACCCAAGTGTCCATCAACTGATGAATAAACAAAATATGGTATTACCCATACAGTGGCATATTATTTGGCAATAAAAAGAAGTGTTATGTTACAACATGGATGAACCTTGAAAACACGCTCAGTGAACGAGGCCAGTCACAAAACTGTATGATTGATTCCATTTATGTCAAATGTCCAGAAGTGGCAACCTATAAGGACAGAAAGTAGATTAGTGGTTGCCTAGAGCTTGACTCTGTGTGTGTGTGTGTGTGTGTGTGTGTGTGTGTGTGTGCGCGCGTAGTGGGGGAGTGGGGATGAGGATTAGGGAGTCGAGTTTCTTTTTGGGGTAATGAAAATATTCTCAATTGACTGTGTTGAGAAACGCATAACTCTGTGACTACTAAAAGCCATTGAACTGTATGCTTTAAATGAGTGAATTGTATAGCATGAGAATTATATCTCAATAAAGCTGTTAAAAAATTGCTTTAAAAGTGAAGGAGGGCTTCCCTGGTGGCGCAGTGGTTGAGAGTCCGCCTGCCGATGCAGGGGACACGGGTTCGTGCCCCCGTCCGGGAAGATCCCACGTGCCGCGGAGCGGCTGGGCCCGTGAGCCATGGCCGCTGAGCCTGTGCATCCGGAGCCTGTGCTCCGCAACAGGAGAGGCCACAACAGTGAGAGGCCCGCGTACCACAAAAAAAAAAAAAAAAAAATGAAGGAATTATTGGTATAAACAACTTGGAAGAAGCTCAAGGGAATTATGCGGAGTGAAAAAAAGCCAACCTCAAAAGGATACATACTGCATGATTCCATTTACATTGGGCTGGCCAAGAAGTTCATTCGGGTTTTTCCATAAGCTCTTATGGGAAAACCTGAACGGATTTTTTGGCCAACCCAATACAATATTTGTAAATTATAATTTACATCTATAAACATAATTATAGAGATGAAGAACAGATTAATGGTTACCAGGAGTTAGAGATGGGGGAAAAGGGTAGGTGTGGCTATAAAGGAGTAGTTCGAAGGAGCCTTGTGATGTTGGTACAGTTATTTATCTTGACGGTGGTGGTTACACAAAGCTACACACGTGATAATACCACATAGAGTTATGCATGCATGTGCACACACACACACACACATACATACTGAGTTATACCAATATCAGTATCTTAGCTTTGATATTGAAGATGTTAACATTGGAGGAGGCTGGGTGAAAGATGCAGAGGACCAGTGTATACATTTTCTTTGCAAATTCTTGTGAATCTATAATTATTTCAAAATTAAAAGTTTAAAAAAGTGTGAGATTTGGTCCAGCATTTCTCAAATGCTAATACACATGTATATCTTATTAAAATGTAGAATCTGATTGGGCAGGTCTGGGGTGATGCTGGAGATTCTGAATTCCTAACAAGCTCCCCAGTGGTACTGATGCTACTGGCCCTTGGACCACACTTGGAATAGCAAGGCTTTGAACAACAACTAGGATCAGAATACAGAGGGGGGAGAGAAGATGGGTGGAGGTGGTTAGGGAAGTCTCCTGGAGGAGGTGGCGGTGACCCAGGACTTCATGGGGGAGGAGGAGGCAGAGAGGTTGGAGGGGCTGAGCCTGGGCAAGGTGAGACCCAGGAGAGGCCTCACTCTGGGAAGGAGCTTCTGGATGAGGTGTGTGGACGGAAGGGCTTGTTCCTAGAACTGGGAACACTTATTTACACTGTGTACTATTATGTAATTTAATTGCAATGAAGATTTCTAATAAAACGCAGTTAAACAGAATTTTGCTTTGGGGAGGATAGCAAACCTCCTCTGAGACTAGCTTAGGAAATGTGTCCTGCTGCCTGGGGAGAAGGACACCGTCACCCTCTCAGTGTTGCAGCTGCTTATTTTTACAGCACCCACACCATGCAGTGACCCCGCCAAAGCTCAGGCCGTGGTGCAACAGCAGCCAAGAGTGGTCAGAGACCTCAGTGTCTGGGTTCAGGCTTCTGTTGTTGCATCTCAGCCCCACCACTTAGCAGCTGGGTGACGTTGAGCAAGTTACTTAGCTTCAGTGCCTTGATTTTCTCATCTGTAAAATGCACACTAATTATAATAATCTAAAAGGGTTGTTGTGCAGATTAAATGAATAAAACGGAGCATTTGCAATACTGCCTCAAACACAGGAAGCAGTGTCAGCGTTCTCCTTCATAGTTGTTATAGTTACATACCTCCTGGGACCTCTGGACAGATTAAACAATGCCATGTACAGCACATATTGTTTCCAGAAGCTGGTAGATGCTAAACAAATGCTAAATCCTTTTATACTGTCTCTCTGGGCAGCGTGGGATGGGCTACAGCTAGACCCTCACTCTGCCCTGATTCTCTCTGATCATTTGATGCCACCATTTCTCAGCCCCAAACCCCCTGCCTGGGCACCGTGCCTATCAGTCAGGGGCCCTGTCCTTACTTTTCCATGTTGAGATTTCATGTGTACTTTAGGCCTCTATTTCTCTCTCCAGAAATTGAGAGGTCTATACTGGTATGTATGTGTGTGTATATATATATCTGCATATATATAGAAAGAGATTTATTATAAGGTATTGGCTCATGTGATTATGAGCCACAGGCTGGAGACCCAGGAAAGCCAGTGGAGTAAATTCCAGTCCAAGGCTGAAGGCCCGAGACCCAGGAGCACCAGTTTGGGGGCAGAAGAAGACTAATGTGCCAGATCATGCCTTCAGACAGAGAATTCAACCCTCCTCTGCTTTTTTATTCTATTCAGACCCTATTCAGACCCTTAATGGATTAGATGAGGCCCACCCACACTGGAGAGGGCACTGCTTTACTGAGCCCACCGATTCAAATGCTAAAGCTCTTCCAAAAACACCATCACAGACACATCCAGATAACGTTTAACCAGATATCTGGGCACTCCGTGGCCCAGTCAAGTTGACACATGAAATTAACCATCACAAGCCCTTTAGGATGGTGTGCCCAGGAGGAGGGACCAGGACCCTGGGGGCCCCTTGCTTCATCTCTCCTTCAGTGTGGCCCATGCGCAGAGCTCAACAGTTCCTGCCTGGCCCCTGTAGGGGAGGTCAGCCGCTGTCAAGTGGGCCTGTGACTGGTGGGCTCCCTTCAGGGTGGGCACTGGGCTGCAGCTAGAGGTGACTTTCTCCAACTCAGCTTTACCTGGAACCCAGCTGACATTTTGAGTTCCATCTATCTGATTCCCGTGATGTATTTCTCAAATCATCAGATTCTGAGATGGGGAGGAGCTACGATTAAATACCTACCTCTGAAACCTCACCTCCACCCCAAATCCCAGACCTCAGGTCTTTAGAGCAGGAGTCAGTTCTGGAGAGGGCTGTGCCTCTGAAATTCTGGAACCTCTGGGTCTAGAGCACCAGCAAGTTTGACTCACAAAGGGTGAAACTTTCTCAGGGAATAGAAAAGTTTGCGACACGATGTCCCAGGAAGCTAGTGGTGTTTTCTGACTTTGACTGAATCTTATAGAATAAATAAGGCTGGAGTTGCCGAGCAAAAAAGAAAAAGAAAAAAACGAAAATACTGAGATTAAGGAAAAATCACTGAGAAATCAGGTACCTCCTGGGATGACTGTAGGAATACTAAAAATGCAGTGACACCAGAAAAAATCACATGCTGCTTTAGAATCATACTCAGATCAGTGTATGCAGATCATTTCTTATCTGTTTTCAATTAGGCAAAACAACTCAGCAAATGAAGGTTTGAAGCTCTTGTTTTGCAGGGTCAAATCTTACACTTTAAACTTGGCAGGCCCTCGAGTGGAACTTGTGAAAAGGGGCTGGAGAAATCTCTTGGAATCAAGAGAGGCCCTCTGGAGGGAGGCAGGTTTTCTCACTCTCCCATCGTCATCGTTTGGTGCCAGTCCAAATGTCTTGATCTTAAGGCAGTTTGTCAGAGCCCTTGTTCCCCCACCATCTGTCTACGTGCCAATTGTCTTGGTGAGATTTACACGTGAAGCAAAACCAATTAAACGAAAAGACTGCCCTTAGCAGCTCAGAGCATTTTTAATGAAGGAAGGCCACACTCTGGAAGCCAGTGAGCATTCCCAAATCGCAGCTGATTATCAGGTACTTCATCAAACAATCCAGAGTTTGCCAGCAAACCACAAGTTGACAGGACAGAGGCAGGGGTTGATGTGAGTCTAAGCCTTGCCCTGGTGCTTCAATATTCATATTTCATTTGTGACAAGTGTCACATTTATCAGGGGTACAGTTTCCTTAGGAATTCAAGGGTAATCTGAACCAATCTCTAATACCCAAAATAACACAAATGAGAACAAGGGAGATAAAAGGTTTTCGAAAGAACTTTCTTTTTCTCAGAAGGTTAACAGGAGTTTGATTATAGTCTGAAAATATTAAGATAGGTAACTTTCAATTTTCCACACACACAGGAACCCTTCTCGCTTCAATGTTTCCTTCATCCAACACAATTCAAAAAACTTAAAATATGCCAAATGTGTCTGACTAAAAATAAAGAGCTTTGTGAAGAAATCAAGCCCTCCAGGGACCAGCTGTGACAACGACTGGGGGTGTCTGGGGTTGATTTTGAATGTGCCGGCGAAAGGCAGGAGTGGGTGGCTACCATTCCTTCTGAGTTGACCTTCTGGGGTTCAAAGTCTCTAACTGGTGGCTCTCAGAGGGTGCTTAGAGTTCCCTGGGTGGCTAAAAGCCCTCTAGTTTTGTAGGGGAGCTATGTGCGCCTGTCGAGGTGGGCACTGTAGATGGACTGTCTCAGCCTTATTAGGCTCTGTTCTTTCTGAGTCCCCTGCTCCCCCTTCCTTGCTATGCAGCTGTACCCCAGTGGATGCCACATGGGCCCCAGACTCGGACAGACGGCGCCAGCCTCTGCCTCCCCCCTGATGGGCTGAAGGACAAGGTCTGAGCCTAAGCCACATGTGGGCACCTACTGTGTATGCCACTCAAGGGTTATTTGAAGTGAATGACAGGACAGAAACAGAAAAGCCTCTCTGTCCCCTGTTTTTTTTTTTTTTTTTTTTAATAGGGCATAGCAGGAAGTTAGCTCCATCTGGAATTATTGGAACCACCAGTTGCCACTCTTTTTTCCCCATGAGGGAACTTTATGACCAGGATCAGGCAAGTGCGCATTCCATGGTCAGGCTAAAAGCAGCAGCAAGTGGGAAAGCAGAAAAGTCGTCTTACCAGTCACCATCACGCAGCTGGACTGGGAATCCATGAAACCGGAGTGGGGGGGCGCTTCTGCGCCTGCGCGGGTCAGAGGCCCGGCCCTGGGCGCTCCGAGCGCCGCGCGCCCCTCCCGGCTGGTCGCGGGCCTCTCGCTGGGGTGGGGACCAACCACCCCGCCCCGCAGCGTTTTGGGGGCCCTGAAAGACTGAAGACTCTGGGGTGGGGCGGGTGGAGGGTGTAAGACAACCCCCCTCCGAAAGCAGAAATAGCCAGCTCAGGACGCACAGGCTGCGGCAACAGAAAAGTAGTAGGTCGGAGCGCCATCAGGGTCTTTCTGGCCACTTGGGGGCGGGGTCATTTTGTTGGTCGGTGTGTTCGAACGTGAGCCACGAGTCTGGCGACCAACTGTCTCAGTTTGCCTGGGACTTGGATAGGACGGGGGCTAAAAGGTGCTGAAACCCGTACAGCCCCAGTGAGTCAGGATGGTGGGGACCTTACAAGTTGTTTTGTTTAGACCTTGGCTTGATGAAATTTGGTAGCTCTTGAAACCGATTTTGCAAAATATGTTTTAAAAAAAAAGGAAAAAGAAACCAAAACCACAGATGAAGCTTATAGTTAAAAGTGATGGTTGAAAGCTCCTGCGGCCGGTAAGCTGTGGCTCCGCAAGCAAGTTAACCTGTGCCCCACCCGCTTCTCCTTGCAGCGAAATGGGGATGATCGCAGCACCGCTTCCTGGGTGGAGTCTTACCCCTGCCCACTGTCCCCGTACCTCCCACAGCCCTGGGGGCAGAGGCTCACTCGGCCAGGGGTGTCTGCTTGGGCTTCCCTGGCTGTGCTCTCACCGTCCCCAATTCTGCCTGCATCAGTGCTGAATAGGGCGCTTGACTAGCTACACGCACCACTAAATGCTTTTGCATGTCACCTGGCTCTGTAGCCCATTCCTCCTCCTTTTTGTGTCACGGTAACCAAAAGAGCTAACATTCGGGGCTAGTTATGCGACATCTTGACCTTTCAGACTATACTACTTAAGACAAACAAACACCTTTTTTAAAATTAAAAATACTTTTTACAAAAGCTGTCTAATAAGAGGTACAAAAACCATCATTCTCTTTCCCCATCTGGGCATGGCCATGAGAGGCTCCATCCAGGGGCGGCCAGGAGAACCCCACCAACCCCAGCATCATACTGCTTCCCCAGGTTCAGACTACTCCTTAATAGAGGGCGTGACCTCTTCTTAATTCCATCTTCTTAATTGGCCCCCTGATAAACAATACACCTTAATTGGGATTGCTGCCAAGGAACTAGAGTCCACCTGATGCCTTCCTGGGCCACTGAACAAACGGCCATTCGTTTTTTTTTTTGCGGTACGCGGGCCTCTCACTGTTGTGGCCTATCCCATTGCGGAGCACAGGCTCCGGACGCGCAGGCTCAGCGGCCATGGCTCACGGGCCCAGCAGCTCCGCGGCATGTGGGATCTTCCCGGACCGGGGCAGGAATCCGTATCCCCTGCAGGCAGACTCTCAACCACTGCGCCACCAGGGCAGCCCCAGCCATTCCTTTTAATTGGCCCCTGGTGTGGGCTGCAGGCTTATTTACAGCAGAGAACAGGTGGGAAGAGGCATCTGCCCCCAGTGGCCTTCCCGTGCCTGCTCTGGGAAGATGGGGCCAGCTTGTTTTGCAGAGGATATAGAGAGCTTTGCATTTCACCCTATTTTGAGATTAGACAATACAAAATTACAAGTTTGAGAGCAATTAACTGGTTTCTCATATTCTCACGGTTGATGTTCCCCACGACCACCTCTGGTAAATGGCTCCCCTAGTTCATGTCACTCACCTAGTCCTTCTATCAAGAGGGTTTTGCTTGTTCATCACAGTTATAAACGAGGCGATTAGATCACTAGAAATGCCCACATTTATTAAGTTGGTTGCTGCTAAGGTCAAATTCTGATATCAACATAACTAACGAGGTCTGGGTATCTAACTTGTTTACTAATGTTACTTACTAGTTTACTAATGTTAACTTATCAGACCTCAAAACAGACTCCTCAACTGCTAAGACTGTCCGTTTTTAACAGTGCTACTTTTCTGATAATGAAGCTTCAATTTTTACTTTTCTATGTTTTTCAGGATTTGACATGAGCCATTCCTATTTTAACTGCAACTGGGATGTGTCCTAGAATTTTCACTTTCCCATAATTCACTTATTATGTCCTAAAATTTCCTCTAATTTTGCAGTTAATGAAAAAGAAAATGAGAGACATAAACTATTTCGACTTAGCCACAGTGACATTTTCCCCACTTGAGGGAAAGACACACACACATTCTCATTCTCGAAAATGAGAACAATTCAGAGAAGTATGGATTTTGAGGTCTGACATTTGCACTTTTATTTCTTTTTCCACTGTAAAAACAAATGGTCTCTAACAATTGCCGATGTCAAACATAATCTTTAGGCCGATGAAATATAGTAAGCCTGAGAATGAATAGGGCAACTAAAGAGAGATGTCTTGTTAACAAAAAGCACAGTGGTCTTCCTTACAAGTTAGATTCCCGGGAGGAAAAGTTTGTAATCATATTTGACTCTGGGATTAAGAGGGCAAGGTGTGACCCTCTCTCACTGAACCGGAAAGCAAGCAGCAGTGTGCACGTGTTCTCACCAGGGAGGACAAATGGGGTTGCCAAGATGACAGTATCCCAAGGCCTAAAATATTTCGTGTTTTGAACCAAACATATAACGTTGTGGGGTTAGTTTTAAATTGCTTATTGGCAAGTTGTGACTTCCTGCTTAAGGAAGAAGGATTAAAAAGTTTGTTTATTGTCTTTGACACAAACAATTCTTGCAACATATTTTGTACACTTCACATAAATGAGATGTAATCAAACTGGTCAAATTCCTCTTGGGAGGTGGAGAATATAAATCAGCAAGAAGTACTGGTGGTTAAAATGATAATAATAACAACAGCAACACTCCTCTGTCAAACATCACTGCTTCCAAATCAGCTACTTACTCTACCATAAAACAGAACTCCTAGCCAAACTGCCTCTTGTCAAAGCACTAACCAGTTCTCCAAAAATGTCAGTCTTCTAAGGTAGACTTTGGGAATCGCCCTCTCCTATTACTTTGCCTTTTCAGCTTAATAGTCCAACAGGGGTGGATACACAGTTTCTGTAAAGAAGTAGATGGTAAATATTTTAAGCTTTGTGGGCCATATGGATTTTCCAGCAGCCATAGATAATATGCAAATAAGCAGGCGTGCCAGTGTACCAATGATTATCTATGGACGCTGAAATTTGAATGTCCATGTGTCATAAACTATTATTCTTCTAATTTTTTTCAACTATCTACAAATGTGAAAATTATTCTAGTCCACAGGCTGCACAAAAATAGGCAGTGGGCTGGGTTGGGGCTGTGGGTTGTAGTTTGACAAACCCTGCCCTAGAATATAATTTTTCTCTGGTATGGAACATGATAGAGCTGGTGATAAAGTGACCTTGTGGTATACATGAACAAATTTTCAATTAAATGAGTAGATTTTAATTAAAATAAAACCAAGGATTAAGTAATTCAGAATGTTCCATCAAAAACCTCATTGCTTTCCTTTTTTTCGTTAGGTTCACCCGGTGTTAAATTAGAAGAGCATTCTGAATAAATGTGATAGACAGTTTTGTGTTCAAAATGATAGTATTTATGATTTTTACCACTGTGGAATTAGCTCACTGAAGCAGTTATCAATTAGTATTTTTTCTCACCCATCTATGTGTAATTGCTAGTTGTCCTAGGCGAGATTAGGCTCCAACACCCAGGTAAGGAAGGATCCTGAAGCTGTACTTCATTATTTTGGAGGATTCAGGTGCCATATATTCATGCCTTATTCATGCCATATATTCATCTTCCTACTAAAGCCTCGCTCTCAAATGCTTATGACATTTACTCATTTAAATATAAAAAATTTGAGACTTTTATAACATTCTGAAACAACCATTTAAAACTGGTTTAAAACAATGAGGGAATTGCTATGTGAGAGATCATATAATAATGCTGGGATTATCTTTAGCATTCCATGGGAAACTGGTATAGAAGATACAAGTTTTTATAACTTCACCTATGCAATATGAATTAATAGCTTGAAAAATTAGTGTTTTAAAATTTCTGACAGTCTGCTGTGATACATCATAGGTAATAGTTTCCTTACATTTTATAGGAGAAAGTTTTGCCTATATTTTTCTTCTGTTTTGTATTTTTCCCTTTGACTTTTACTGTCTTGATTTTTTTTTTCCTAAGGACTACATTTCCTTGACTGAAAAGTAACAACTGCAGCTACAGGAATTGGTTTATTTATTGAAATCCAGTAGCTTGCTAGCCCTATTGTTTAAATACTGTATTTTTCTTTCGAATTTCACAAATATCTTGGGAATGGCTAGAGCAGTTGTGTTCTTAACACTGAGGAAATTCCTGTGTAGATAAATGAGGCCAGATGGAGGACGCATCAGAGCACTTAACCTCCTGGAATGAAGGGAGGACCATACTGAAAACATGCTCCAAGCCCCTATTTTCCGGTTTATATATATAAACAATATTTTTTCTTTGTTAGAGTTAAGGGCAATTTTGGTGTCAAAAATGAGTGCCATGTGCCTGAGTAAGTTTGAGCAAGATTTAGAAATCCAACAGCTGATTTACAGACCATCTGATAGTCTACCTAGAAATTCTGTGATAATTGACTTTAGAAATTACTGGACCTCATAAAAGTGGCTGAATGTAAGACTGGCATTGACCCAAGCTAACGGTTTTCTTATATACCAGCAATAACCGATTGGTAAATGTAATTGAAGAAAAGAAAGAGCCATTCAAAATAGCTGGCAAATGCCAGAAATATATAGGAATAAACCTAGCAAGGAATATATGAGATCCATTTGTAAGAACTGTAGAACTTTGGCCAAAAAAAAAAAAAAGGTAAAAGATAAAAGTAACTCACATATCTGCTGACCTGAGGTGCCAGGTGCAGCCATTTGCACTAGGAACTCTGGTCTGAAGCGCCAGGTAAGAAGCCTCTATGTTACACCCTATGAAACTAGACGAAGCAGGAAGGAAAAGTGAAAAAAAAGCTGCACTGATGAGACCGCAAGGGAAGACTACCTACTATCAAAGAAAGACTCCAATTCATCTCTACTTAAAAGGGGTTCTTGCTGCTCTGCCTGGCTGTCAGGCCTGAGCCTCCGAGGTGGGAGAGCTGAGTCCAGGACATTGGACACCAGAGACCTCCCGTTCCCACGTAATATCAATCAGCGGGAGCTCTCCCAGAAATCTCCATCTCAACACTAAGACCCAGCTCCACCCAACGGCCAGCAAGAACCAGTGCTGGACCCCCCTGCCAAACAACTAGCAAGACAAGAACACAACCACACCCATTAGCAGAGAAGCTGCCTAAAGTCAT